ACTATTTTAACCCCCGGTGAACTTAAGGTGAGTTCAATATATAGGAACATTGTATGTATGTGTTATATGTGCTATGTGATTTTCAGTGTTATTATTCTGAGTTATTTTCTCGTGCTATTCGCTATGTTTATAGCAATTGTAATACCTTTGACCATGTGATCAGTGAAAGGACTTAGATTCACATTGGTACTGGTACGTAGCCTCTGGCCATGTAGAGCATGTCTCCGTAAGAGAATGACTTCTATTCTATGGCATTGGCAAATGGTTAGACAGGACTATAAGCCTGAAATCTAACAAGATGTTAATCAGAAATTGCATGTCTTCTATGCCATTTGGGCCAAAGCTTTATTGATGTATATCAAGAATTGAAAAGTATATCTTTGAATAAAGTCTTTGATTGATATGAACGCTTATCACATGATCTCACATGCATCTTGTTGTTCCTCTTTTTTTTTTGCCACATTGAAGTATATATATGGCATAACATTATATTGTATCTATTTTTGAACTCACTAAGCGTCACCGCTTACCCTATCAATGTTTAATAATTGCAGGTGATAAGTAAATAGTATGTTTACATACTATTGAAAGATTTAGAATAGTTTGTAATAGTACTTTTGAACTACAGTTTATGTTTGTATAAATTACAATATCCTGGGTGGTTATGTAATATATATATATATATATATATATATATAATATATTATATATTATATATATATATATATATATATTATATATATAACACTATGTAATTGAAGGTTTGTATCCAATAGTTTGTAATTCCCTTTATCAATGTAAAATATTGCTTTTATGAATATGCAAATAGCATGTATTGGAGTAATGATATTGTGAAGTATGAAAGTTTGACTCTTCAAAAATACGAAAGTTGGGTCTTTCAATCATGGTATCAGAGCAGTAGTTTAAGCGAACTAAATTCCATGGATTGGTATTTAGACTTAAACTATAGGAAGTTCAATATATGAACTTAATCAATGTAAGTATAGGGATACAAACCATAGGAAATATATAAGTAAAAGTATTAGGTAATAGTAAACCTAATATTCTAAAATACTATCTTACTCCGTATTTTAGATCAATGGCTGAACAAGTAAGTCGCCATACCCCGAAGGTTGGTGGAGATCCTCAACCCGAGGAAGTGAATACTCCAGTATCTCTTCGTGAGGAACGACTCTTAGGTAAACTTATCGGTGTTATTCGAAAGACTCTCGAAGAACACAAAAAGAATAATGATAAAGGAAAAGAGAAAGTCACCGGAGAATCCTCAAGCGGAAAGGTGAAGCGTCCCCCGTTCAAAGATTTCAAGAGTAGTGGTGCTACGGAGTTTTCTGGTGTCCTTAATCCTATAATTGTTCTAACTTGGATTC